CACAATAACATCAATGCATAGGAGCAGCAATAACAAAAGATGAACTCACCTTTTTACGTTCCTTCTCCATGAAACGAAACTGGTCATAGCATTCTTCCAAACGAAAGTGTAACTCATTAGATGGTCCACTGCGGTTACGTGGCATACGCATTTGACCGAATGCTCCTGGGTATCCGTAAAAGGACATAGCATGATGGTACATATCATAGTACATTTCCGGATGGCACATTTCAGGCATACACATCTCAGGTGGTGGAATACCATAATAGCCTGGAGCATGTTTTCCTGGGTGGTTGCGGTTGTAGCCACCGTAGTAGTAATCATAGTCCATAACAGGCAGGATGTCGTGGTTGGAATGCGGATGGTGCATCATGTGCGGGGTAGGCATTGGCAGATAGTGGTGGGAATATTTCCCATCTGGGTGGAAAATTGGCATGGGCATGTTATTATGTGGATAATGTTGTTGATTTCTTGGGTAATCAACATTTAAAGCTTCTTCATTGTGAGGGCGTAAATCTGAAAAGGAGCGTCTGACATCATCCTGGGTCGTATGATGCCAGTATTGGTCTTGTTCCGGATTCTGTGTTTTATTCCTACCTTGATAGTTAGCGAACTGCTTCACTGGTCTCTTTTGAGCAGAACTGTGTTCTTGCAAGTTTTGACTAGTGACTTCACCATTACAAGGCTTATTCATCTTCTGAAACGCTGCTATCAATTTGGGATCATATCCATTTATGGGCAGTGGGTTACTGTTGCAAGGTTTAGTTGGTGTATTCTGTGTAAACGATTGTTGACTATACTGAGAGTTAGCGGAAGTCTGAAATTCATGATTATGGAAGCTGTTTCCGTAAGTACGATTAACCTTCTCGTTGGGAGCATACACACTAGTAATATCAGAGACAGAGTTAGGCGTACTGGGATTTGAACAAGACGGATTGGAGCTAACCGTGCTTGTATCAGTTGTGGTCACTACGCTGATAGGTTGTAATTTACTTTGGAGAGCCATTCTTCCACTCCAGCTTATTTTGCCATTGCTTTGTGGAGGAGAAGTCATACTCTGTGATTTCATCATTCCATTGTTATCCCCACTCGGCCATCTACCACTGACCTTTCTACCAATGTTGTTATTGTTCTTACTGCTGTTAATAATACTGCTATTGTTCTCATCACATGCCCACTCGTTCTTGGTGTAGTCATGATTATCTCTGTGGTTGTATCGCTGAAAACTGCCGTTCATTTTGTTGCTTGCTGGATCAAAAGTTTCGTTTGGAAGATGAGATGAAGTGTGAAAGCCTTGAACACCAGTTTCATGTAGATAGCCCCTCTTCTGTTGTAGGTCTATATCTATATGACACAAATAAATAGTTGATCAGGAAGAGTTAACACAATTTTTGAATACATTATCAAGGGTTGGATTTCAGTATTCTGAGGGCACCCAATTTCAAGGCCAAAAATTGTCTTGGACTGATTGAAATCATGAAGGAAATATTTGACTATTATGAAGGGCATCAAGGCAGTTGCCTTCATGGCTTCTATAAATTTCAAGCATCCTAATAGTGCAAGCCATATAAATATTTTTTTATTGTCTCACTTTTAAACATGTCAAAGAAAAAATATACAAGACATAAACACATATGTGCAGTAGCTGCTTTCGATTTTGAAGAAGTAATACATAATCTATAGACACTTACTATGGTATTGCAGCCTCTCTTCTGTCAGCTCTTTCTCTTTACCCCTGCTAGATAAGGAGTTGACAATAGATGGTGATGGCAGTTGTTGAGATGGCAATCCATTTCTCATAATATTGCTTACGTCTGAAGTAAATGGCAATGCTGATAATTTCTCAGAAGTGGGTGAATCGCTGTTGCCAGTGGACCATATCTGGTTTTGAAAACTACAAGTTGGAGAACTGTTGAGGTAAAATAAAACAATATTGTAGGAGCTTTTATATAATATGCTTTATACTCAACAAGTACATGTATGTGATGGTGTATTTTTAATATATATTAGAATACAAACATGAATATATAATAAATTATGAGATAATATGAAAAGAATTGCAAATGAGAACAAGCAGCCTGTCGGCTGAGATAGCTCCGCTGTTAGCAATGCACATTGCAATTAAAGAACAGAAGATATCATTAGAAAATGAACAATATGCATACCGGTACCGTTAAAATCCTATTATAAACTGCGGTTTATATTACAATGTATCAAATACAAAATTGGGATCAACAGCTCAAGTTCGGGGTGCGGTTTCTATTACGTACATATTGCAATCACTAAATGAGCATGATCATTTTTTCCCACATCACTTGTACAAAACAAACAATACACCGTACATCTTTTGAATATAAGGGTAACTCCAATTTAGATGTCAGGGAAGAGTGATAAGCGTCACATCACAAAAAAACTGTTCACATGAAAAAAAATAATACTCAGTATTTTTAGTGTAATATGCATTTATTTTTTTAATTTTCTTTGTAACGGAAAGTATATTCTGACAGGAGTTTCAAATAAAAACAAGCACTAAAAAAGTACGGTACCGTGGGCCATGCTTCAGCTCACAAGTGAATAACTTACTTGTTTTCGAAGTGTTGAAATTGTTGATTATTACTCAGTAGTAATTATAATAACAGACGAAAAATAAATTCGTTGAATTGTTATCAAATGCAAGTAAAATTCAACTTAGTTTTACCGTAAGCGAATTATTTCGGTCACATGTAAACGATCGATGCAATAAGACATCCGGCATGTAGTTTGAATGCACACGAGACGTTACTTGACCAAATAGGTCAAGTCGCTAATTAACCAATCAAAATGCTGGATGGTGCCCACATGTTCAAATTACCTTGATTCATTTAAATATGTTAATGACAGGTCACCGACTTCATGGTGAACGAAACCTGGAAGAGTTTTACCGATAATGTCGTGCAATCTTTTGGCTTTGATTTCCATGGAAAAACGACATGCCTTTTTTTTAAATTAAAAAATTTAGTTGTTTTCGAAAGATAAACTGAGCATTGAAAAAGCATTTAACAGTTTTTCGGTGATAACAGCTCATTGTCGAAAACTTGTGACACGTTGACAGATTGAGTATTGACAAAAGTTGTCGCAAGAACAAAAGCAGTTTCACTGCGTGTTTGACATCCTAACACTACTGAACAATAAAGAGGTGTGAATATTTTTAGGCACGTTGTTGAAACAAATGAATAGGATTAGGAACAATGTACCAGCTGGTTGAAACAAAGTCCGTCACGGTCTTGTTGAATTGGGGGTGCGGTTAGTAATAGGTACTTTTCATGTTTTCAATTTTTGTTGAGAACCCTTTAACACTGAAGCCGAAATCGGGGGGGGGGGGTGCGCAGTTACTATTAGGTATGCGGTTTATAATAGGATTTTAACGGTAGTATCAAAAGAACAGGTTTTTAACAAAAAGTTGAGAATATCAATTTTTACCAAAAATGACAAAAAATATTCACTAAAATTAGAGAATTAAAGATATCATTACAAAATGAACAAATCCGAAAGAGGTTCACATGTAGTACCTACATATGTAATATCAAAGCAATTGGACTTGCGGTTTTTAACAAGAAGTCGAAAATATCACTTTTTACCAAAAATGACAAAAATATTCACCAATCAAAGAAAGCTTAGAAAGAACTCCCGTGTGCTGAGAGTTTTGGAGACACATTAAAAATTAATTCAAAATTACTTATACTTGAGATATTGATGGAATAGCTGA